CAAACAGGTTGGCAAAGTCGAGTATCTGCTGAGCTACTTGGCATAGAGTGCCCTTTCATTGGAGACATTTTTTTCTATTGTAGTTTTAGTATTACCTCGACTGACTATTCGTCAACAATCCTTTTTTCCCTCAATCTATAGACAACGAAACGACGAAAGAGCTCATTTGCGAGTATGTGTTCTTAACCAATCATGTGGTAATGAACCCTTTACATTGTAGGATCGCATTGTAAAGCCTGTGACTTCAAGGCGAACCAAACATACTGCAAATATATACCTGAAATATATTATATATATCTAAATTCGGGACCAAATAGTTCAATAATAGTAACCATTTAAGCAGCCGTATTGTTGGCTACTTTTTTGTAACCCCTCCTCACTTCTTCAAAACCATTTAACTGCCACTTAACTAAAAATCGTATCGCCACATAAATCTTTGTGTACTTCAAATGTACCGAGCTTAATATGGATCGTCATAATTACTCACTCAAGTAAAATTTAGCCAATTAAGTGCAATAATAAATTATTACCATTATTGTTGTTGCATATTTCATATTTTTTATAATAATTCGATTAAATTTTTGTGCAAATCAGCAATTTAAACAAATTAGTGCACGAACATGCTTAAATCAAAGCTATTCAGCTACCGTTAACGTTCAATTTTATGGCAGTGAAATTGTGCTGAATTACCAAATTGCGCTTACGACAACAAAATTGTTATTATATTACAAATTAATCATATAGTACGATTTTATTTTTTTTTTTTTTTTTTTAATTTTCACTAACAAAAGACAAGTTGTGTAAAGTTGAAATCCACTCGGACGTGATTAATAAAAATGGCAGGCAATTTGAATTTACTTGTTTGGAAACAATGTGTAACGAACGTGATTAAAAATTGCAAAAATAAGGGTGGCAGTGAAAAAAATTTATTAAATATGTATATATTGTTATATTAACTGAAAACAGCTTCTCGTTTCATTTTATTTCATTTCATTTTATCATTGTTTTAATTTATTTCATTATTTTTAATAAATTTTAACTAAGTTTTCACTTTACTTGATTTTTCTATTTATTTTTATACTATTTAATCTTACCTTTATTTAATTTATTAAACTTATTTTTTTAATTTAACTTTATTTTATTTTATTTTATTCAATTTTATTTTATTTTATTTTCATTTTTTGGTATTATTTTTCCTTTTTTCATTTAATTTTTTATTCTAATTTTTTTTTACATTTCATTTGGTTTTACATTATTTTATTTTATTTATTTCATTTTATTTTTAATTATTTTTTCTATTTTATTTACAAATTACTTTATTTTATTTAATTTTTTACTTTATATTAATATTATTATATTTTACATTTAAAATTTTTTTGATTTAGGTTGTTTAAAATATATTTAATTATGTTTTAATATAATGTTTTTTACTTTATTTTATTTTACTTGATTTAATTTTAACTCATTTTATTTTATTTGATCAAAATTCAATTATTTTATTTTTTCATTTTATTATTTTTTATATATTCATTACTTTGTTTCATTCCATTTTAATTTCATTTAACTTATTTTATTTTATTTTGTTTTATACTGTTTTATGCTGTTTTATTTTATTTAATTTTATTTCCTATAATTTATTTTATTTCATTTCTTATCATTTAATTGTATATTATTTATTTCATTTTCATTTTATTTTCTATTAATTTCTCTTTTTTATTTATATTTTATTTAATATTAGTTTTATTTTACTTTATATATAACATATTATATTTTAATTTATTTTATTTAAATTTTTTTTTCAATTACATTTTAAGATATTTTTTTAATATTAATCATTTTTTTATATTATTTTATTTTAAATTAATTTTTTTAGTTATATCTGTTTTATATTTTTATTATTGCATTTTATTTTATTTTATTTTATTTTATCTTATTTCATTTTATATTATTTTCTTCTATTTTTATTGTTTTATATTTTATGTACACATTATTTTATTTTGTATTACTTTTTCTTGTTTGATTTTATTTTTTGTTTAATAATAATTTTATTATGTTTTATTTACATTTTTTTTTTTAATTTAAGTTGGTTTATTTTTATTTATTTTATTTATTTTATATTAATTTAGTTTATTTTAATTATCTTACTTTATTTTTCTTTTCCATTTGAATTATTAATTTTTATTTTATTTTATATTATCTATTTCTCATTTTATTTTATTTTCTTAATAATTATTAGTTATTAATTTGTTATACTTTCATTTAATTTATTTTATTTCTTTTTAACCTATTATGTGTTTTAAAGTTTTGTTTTATTTAATATTAATTTTAGAAAAACTTTATTTCACGGAAGAGTAACCTTCATTTCATGCCTCATCAATATTTATTCATTTATGAAAATTTATGTGTAGATAGTTATGCTTTTAATTGAAAATATGAAAGAGATGAAGGATTCATCATGGTTTATATTTAGCCCCAACTTAATCGTTTGCAAGTCATTAAAACTGTTCGTGTTTACGTACTTCTTTTCCTGCTTCTAAAAGTAATTTCACTACAACAATTTGTAAGGAAAATTTCCATGCACAATAATTATTTGTGGTAAGTGATTTATTGCTGAAATCGGAAAATTTTCTTTGTCAATTTGATTAAAAATATACACTTAGCTATAGTTATATTATATATGTGAATGCGCAGGAGTATCTACTTATCAAATGCTTGCTGTAGACAATTTTATGAACATATGGCGTGCCGTAAAGCAAATAGATTTTATGTATGTTATATTTACATATTTCTACAATTGCTGAATTATTTTTAAGAAGTATTTCCAATAACTGACTTAATTGGATTTATGGTAGTCTCATTACCTATAATTTAAGAGTTAAATATAATAATAAAGCCAAATCAATAAAAAATTTTCAAAAACGAATATCGTGCTTATGTTTTTATACCAATGGCATATGGCATATGCTACATCGAGTATAATATTGTTCATTATGGTTAGGGTAAGTGGCAAGTGGAATTAGAGTATACCGAAAAATAAATTCCCTAAAGTTTTGGAAAAATTTGATATTGATGACTTAAATTTATAACGAAAGGTTGGTCAAACATAATTATAATTAGTTTTTTATTGTTTCACTAAATCTTCTCACTATTCTTGAGCAACGTGCGGAGTTCGAATTCTAGTTTGAGAGTGGTTCATCAGTCATAGTCAATATATAGAATATATTCCCAATTTAGTCTTATTTCCTTTACCACGAATAAACTACGCCCTTAACAGACGTTGTATTGCCCGACTACCAGTCCAAATACCAATTACCTCCTTTGAAAAAAATAAAAGCGTCGAGCTATGCTTATAATTTGACGAAGAACTGATAAAACTTCGCCTTCTTTACGAAATTTGATCAAATACTTGACGATTATAGCCTAAGTATGCTGTGGCTAATCCGCCAAGGGTGATCCAAACAATTTCCGCCAATTAAAGGTACTACGTGAGAGAATAAACGCCAACGCTCATTACTCATTGGGCCATATTAGTGTGGCGTAAAATCTTGGAGTATCCCTGTAAAGCAGCTGTCTTGGATGTTCGATATAAAACGAGTTTCCGAATGAAGGAATTTTTAATTTCCGTCTAATTGTATGATGCAGAAGTTGAAATCTAATAAGTCAGCTCAAGGACTTGCCAAACTAAAGGTTTAGCGGACGCTTTATGGACCTTTGCGCATAGATGAACCATATCTCGAGTTCTATAAGTGCGGTTAGATTACGCTAGGTGGCGTTTGTAAGATGATACTTTGTGATAAAAAATGTTACGAGAGAAGCTTTGATCACCTAAATAAGGTAGTCAGATAGGTGGAAAGTGTTTATGGTCCTGATACTGTACCAGTTACCAGCTTTCGTCAATTTCGTTTCAGTATCCTATGTGTTAAAAATGCGACACAGTGCGGAAAGTCATTTGTCGGAAATGTCAACGATTGTTATGCAAGCAATGTTTTATTGTCCAGAAGCGAAACATTTCCAAAATAATGAACAATTTGGAACCACTTGAAAAAGGCTGGATACAGTTAACGAGAAAAAACTTCATGTACCGATTTTCCACCAACGAATCGCTGCTGAATCGTAACACAATCGATCTGTTTTTGAAGTAGATGGTGGCTGCTGATGATAAGAGAATCACCTATATTAACGTCAAATAAAAACGGTTGTGAGGGAAAGGGCAGTGAGCTGGCACAAGTGGTCTCCAAGACAGGATTTGTGGCCACCACATAAATCGTTAGCGACTCGCCGAAAGCTGTGAAAGCTTATTTACGAGGTTCTTATGTTCTTATGCATCCACCTTAAGGTATATATGTGTTTCTGTCAATGGCGAATGATTTGGGTGATGAAAATCTGTGAAAATCGGTTGACCCAATTTTTTGTCAATAGAGAAAATGGTTACTATGGGAGCAGCGTATTGATATATCATCTACAGAATACCAAAGGTTATCGATCAAAACGGTGCATATTTGACATGAATCGGATAATTCTTACAGTAGCAAACTAAGGCTTCAATTTAATTCAAGGATTCTTGTTCACTAGACCTAATATTTTATATGAAAAATGAGTTGTATTACGTATAAAACAAAAAAAAAAAAAACAATAGTTTCTATCTCTAATTTTAAGTTGTTAATTTGCTTGCTGCATATATTTGCTACATAGTATTTGGAGCATTCTCAGAAAACATAATATTCCATGACTAATTCATAAGAACGTTTCATTTCTCAATGAAATTCAAAATTTCGCTGCTGTTATGTCATACCATTTATACGCAAAATAGAAATTAAATATTAAAATTTGCATAAATCGTAAGCGTTTATCCTCCGGAAGCATTGAAGATTGGTTTTAAGAGCAAAATAATTACTTTTCCAACCGACTTAACTAACACACAGACATGCATACATACATACATTCACACACTCATATATATATATATAAACATATTGAATTGTATAAATTTTCTTACTCACCGAAAATCACACCCAACAGCACACCGGATAGCGTCACCAGCAACATTAGATTCTCCCGCAACCATTTCCGGTAGCCGGTAAGCTCACGCGGCGCCCCACTACGTTCAGTTGTCTTCGGTGGCAATTCGGTGCCATTGACGGTTGTACTACTGGGCGGGCCCATTTTCGCAAAGAGATAATCTGAAAATTGTTCAGATTTTTCCATTGTATAATTGGACGCGTTGCCCCAAATGGCCACTTTTAAATATTTTTCTTGTATTTATGCACAGTTCGTTGAGCGTAAATATGTACAATGGACGAAGTAAAGAGATTTCAAAGGGGTTTTCAAAGAAAAAAATAAATAAATAGAAAAACCCAAAATGAAGAAAAGTTTTTAAAACCAGCCAAACGGTAAGGGTACGCACTTACGGGTAGGTAATTGGCAAGTTATATACATGTATACATATATATATATATATGTATATATAGGTTTTTAAGGTATGTATGTGGTACTTGAAACAATGGTAATCGATAAAGACGCTTGCTGCGGTTGGACTGTTTGACGGTTTGATTGTAGTTTATTTGTTTCTCTTTCTATAACTGTTATTTTCTTTATCTTCCTGTTGACTTTGGCTTGTTGGGCTTTTAATGTAATTGCTTATTGATCCATTTTGCAGGAACGGTTCTTTTATGCTATTTTTTATTTTTGTAATTAGTTAAATTTTTTTTATTATTCTCTTTTGTGCTTTGTGCGTCAGTGGACAGTTTATTATGATTATTATGATGATTACGATTTTTGTATTTGTAATTATTTTTAATGCTGCCTTTAACGGTTATTAATTACTTTTTAAGTATTTCACATTAAATTTAAGTATATTAATTAAGTACGCCATTGATTCAATATTCTATATACCGTTATTTAAGTTGAGACTACACAGTTAATTGACATAACCCTCAAAATACACTTCGGCTACCGATGCGGCGTAGTCTTTTTGGTATGACGTGTATGCCGCCGCCCAGCTGTATAGGCGGACTCGTCCGGAGCGTCTAGTTGGAATTGGAATTTTAGTATTGGCTCCGTTGTTGAGGTTTGTTTGAAAACTTTGTTGGAAATTCTTTGAAAATGCGTTAGTTAGCACTCGAATGTGGTTTTATGGTTAAAAAAAAAATGTTTTCAATTTTGTATTGTGTTTTTTTCGATTTCCTTTTCTTTTCTTTTTTTTGTAAGAAAATTTAAGCTGTCTTTAGTTTGAAAAAAATTTCAAAAAAAATGTATCTTAACAATTTTTGGGCAGTTGTTAATAGCTTCAGCGTCGTCAGAGTTAGATTAAATTCGCTTTTTGGGTGAAATTTCTTTGGCGACAGTAAAAAAGGAAAATGTGTAGAAAATCAATGCACACTCAGTATCATTGCACCCGAAATTTGTGACGAAAAAATCGATTTTCAGTCTTTCTGCACAATTAATCTGTGTCAAGTGTCGACGAAATCGGAATGTTTGCACTTTTCAATTGGTCTGTTGGTGTGTACACAAAAGGGCGTTGCACCGTTTCATGCGTTTTATGCCGATTATGCGATTTTTCTTTGAATTGTCTTTTGCGTTTTTAGCGATTTTCCAAGTTAAAAAATATGTTTTATGCTATTAATAAAATCATTTTCATTTCCAAACAGCTGCGCTTTTCATTCACTTTTCTGCTTTGCGAATTGAAATATACATATATATAAGTATTTTTTTTCACAAATTCTTTACACACAAATTATTTTTTCCCTTGCCAAATTCACCAACTCGCGTTCAATTCCGTGTACCTTTAACGAGTGAGAGTAATAATACTCAACAACAGGCTTTTATACCACATGCTCTCCAAGCTGCCCAGCAGGATAAACTCTCTGAAGCATTCGACGTGAGCACGTGTAAAAGCTTTTCTACGCAACGTGTAAGCTTGTTACACTTATTTTATAGCAAACAATGCACACGCCAGCTCGAATCAGCAAAGTCATTTTGAAAAGTAATTTTAAAAATATTTACGTACGTGTTCCAGCTTTTTAAAAATTGCCAGTTAATTCAATAAAAATATTTTGCTTAATAAATACTTTTAATTTACTGTTACATTTCTCTTCGATTTTTTTTATAATTTTTCGCTACTAAAAAAGCTCACAACTTTTACAACTGCTGATTTTGTTACTGTCGCCACACCGGCATACTCCATCTGTTGCTTGTTGAAATATTGGCAGTTATTGCTTTTCACTACTTACGTTCATGCATATACATTTACATATGTGTTTGTGTATGTACATACATATCTATGTATGTATATCAATCCATTGAGCTATGAATGACATGCTTTCACTTAAATTACACTTATTGATCCACTTAATTGGACTGATGTCTGGAAATTATGTTTACTTGTATGTATGTATGTCTAAGTAAATATATATATTATATATGTTAGATTATATATTTAATTATTGTTAGCCAAATGATAAAAGTGTCATAGGAATTCTCCGCTATTTATTTGTCTAATAAAAATAATTTTAATTAAAAATCGTCAGGAAACGTGATAATATTTACTGACGAACTTATTAAACAGATAAATTGGAAACAATGACATATAAGCTGATATATACAATAGACATATGGGTTTCCTCGAGCCTCTTATGAACCTATAGAAGGCCCCGAATCCTCCTGATAGATGATGACAAGAAGAGCTGACTTCAGTCGTTCCTTTCTTGGTCATATCAAATTTACAGTTTTATATATTATTTTATAATTAAATATTACTTCTATTCTCTGAATATACGGGGTGTGCTCAAAAAGTATCGCGAACTTGGAATTTTCTCGGGTTACGTATAATCGAATTTTGTTTTTTTCGTGGCGTTATATTGGTACTCATGTCTGTCACTTTTGCCGACAAGCTCTGCCATTTTCAATGTTCACTTAATTGTTGACATCTGCTTTGCTTGCACGTGTTTTGGATGGTCTCCGATTTTTACCTACTCAAAAAAAGGGATCAAAGAACCTGTATCAAATTTTGTGTGAAAAATGAAATTAAGTGCACGGATGCATTCCGAATGTTGACTGTGGCATACGGAGAAGCTACCTTGGACAGAAGCAACGTTTCTCGGTGGTACAAAATGTTCTCAGAAGGCCGAGAAGACCTGAAAGACGAAGAGCGTGCCGGACGCCCGAGCACTACAACAACAGACAAAAAAAATAATTGCAGGGGCTTGATGCATCATGAGTTCTTGCCACAGGGTAGAACGGTCAATAAGGAATATTACCTGAAAGTTATGCGCAATTTGCGCGAAGCAATCCGCCAGAAACGCCCAGATTTGTGGAAGAACAAAGATTGGCTTTTGCACCACGATAACGCCCCTGCTCACACAGCGTTGCTTGTGCGCGACTTTTTGGTCAAAAACAACACACTAATGATGCCGCAGCCACCGTATTCCCCAGATCTGGGCCTCTGTGACTTTATCTTGTTCCCTAAACTGAAGAGGCCCATGAAAGGACGACGTTACGGTAAGATTGACGAGATAAAGATGGCATCGAAGGAGGAGCTGAACAAGATAAAAAAAAATTAATTTTTTGAAGTGCTTCGAAGATTGAAAAAACCGTTGGCACAAGTTTATAATATCTCATGGGGATTACTTTGAAGGGGACAAAATAGATATTCATGAATAAATAAATAATTTTTGAAAAAACACAAAATTCGCGATATTTTTTGAACACTTCTCGTATGGGTTTGTGGGGACTGTATGTTATGCTCGTAGTCCGCCGACTATGATGATTGTCGGTGTCAATGTTTATTTGTGGTTAGGAATGCCAAATTTTATGTACTCAGATGCTTTCTTCAATTATTTTTTTTTTATCCAAAATCATATATCTGTACTAATCGGTTGCATGATGGCCATTAGCTATGGTAGACCAAACAATCCACCAATCAATTCCAGCAAATGTTGAAAAAAAAAATACAACTGCATACGAAGTTGGGTTGAAATATTTAAAAGACTGAGGAACTTGTTAGCATACAAACAAAAAGGCATGACTAAATATACTCAGCTTCTCATTCTGTATAAAAATCTATGTACGAGTATATTCATGCAACGATGAAATGGAAGCGTCTAAAAATTTTCAAATTTCTAAACAGAAATGTATGTATGTATCTTTAGTAAAGAGAGTAGCCTAAATTTTTGGCTTGTATGATGAGAGTGGCTATGTGTAAGGGTTGATAAAAAGTATTTGAGCGCTATATGTATTGATGTACTTCTTTATAAAACCAGCAATCCAAAAGAGGACAGAAAAATTCACGCAAACAATTAAAACGAATAAACAAGCAAATAAAAAAAAATAATAATAATAATATGATAATAAGCCCAACGAATACCCTGCACCTGTCCAACCGATACGAGAGCTGACATCCGCATAACGTACGGAATATGCTGAGTAATGTTTGGGAATTGATTGGGATTGAGCGATCGAAGGTGCTGAAATGAAAATTAATATTTTGAGATAATCGGGCGAAAGGGTACATTCAATTCATAATTTGTTTTACGTGAATTTAATAAGAAAGGCGTAAACCGCCTAGATACACGAGTTGGAACATTAAAGTTTACCTCAGATAAGAGCCATGAACTACAAATTGATCCGTTAAGAAGTCTCACTACGAACAATGCGCCTGACATTTCTCTACAACTTGCAAGAGGAGGAAAATTCAGAAGCTTTAAACGGTTGGTATAGGGAGGAAGATTTATCGTAGAATTCCAACGAAAATGTCATAAATTGCTTTTGAAGAGACTCCAAATTATCGGAATGCACCTGAAAATTGGGGTTCCATATCAGTGAACCATATTCTCGGAGTAAAGAAATAAATTCCTTTAAAAAGTTCTAAACTAATTCTGTTTTACCAGCTTTTAAGTCAAATATGTATGAAAAGAAAAAAGTTCTCTTCGAAACTTTTGAGCCGATTTTTTTAAATTTTCAGGATAGGAACCCGGCGAGGGTTTCTGTGCAGTTTGAATATTTTTGTAAGAGTTCCTATCAGAAGATCATAATGCCGAAAAAAAATCTTTTTTATTGGATTTTTTTTTAAATTTTGTACACAGGCACCTTTTTGCTTGAATTAAGATAAACCTAACTTTTTTTTACCAGAAAGTGACCCTGGGACCGATCTATAACAAGAAAGCTCATTTGTGATTCGATTTGCCGAATGAAATGAAGTGGACCGAGGATCAAACTATTAAAAAAGTGATATTTAAGGTTCGGCGTATTTATGTAAGTCTAAATTGGAATTAAGACCAATTTTTCTTTCGGAAAATGCACCTTGAACCGATCTATTGATAAAAATCTAGTTTATGCTGCGATTTACTTTTTCCTAAACCAGCTACCAATCTTATTCAGATAAATATTTCTATAGTTCGAATTTGTTGAAAACAAATGTCGGAAGTAGACAAGACAGCAAATTCAATTTGATGACCAAGCTGTACAGCTACACTCTTTACTGTGTCTCTATTTTGAAGAATATTGCTACTATTTTTGCAAATTACTCATGGCGGAATGAAGGTCCTGCATCTTTTCTGCGCCCAATAAGCATAGCCAAATTTTCGGTCAATTCTGGCCTTTCATAGATTTCCTGCTCTACTGTCTCCGCAAATGTCTGCACCTGCTGCCCTCCAGCAGGGCAATATGAAGTTTTAGTATACAATAAGGCAATGATTCATCAATAATTCAAATAGCAGCCTGGAGATCAGTCTCTTTTTCGCTAGTAAAAACTTAGTAATGCACCAAATAAATATAATATATTATATATATTATATATGAATGGTCAAATGTTTAATTACAAAAATAAGTTCGAATCATGTGTTTCTCTGTTATTATTTCTAAATGGAATGGGATTAACTATCGACTATTCTACGAGGTATGACAATAAAGCAATGATCCTTAATATATAGCCGCGATTGTGGTAACCCTGCGACCTTGAAATTCTTTTTCTTTTCTCTCGGCATACTCCTCCTCTTCATTGATATATTTGCCATCGCTCTAGCTTGTTTAGTTCGCCTGCTGTGTGCCTGTCGTGTTGAGTAAACGAGTGTTCGTGGTGCTCGTCAAGAAAATGGACGAAACAGTTTCGGAAACGTACGCTAAAATTGTTAAAGTGCATGGTGATAGTACTCTTAGTCGCGCCCAGGTGTTTCGATGGCCTGAAGGGTTTAAGGGGGGGAGTGATAGCGTGGAAGACTCCGCGGGAGACCAGTCGAGCAGCGCACTGACACGAATGCGCAGCGTGCGCACGCTCTAATCCGTGAAGATCGAATGTTGGCGTCGGGGTGAAAGATTGCGAAAACGAGTCAGCGAGATTAACCCAAACATCGCTCGTAACTGGATCCTTCTTCACGACAACGGGCCGTGCCACAGAGCCCTCTGCGTGTCCCAGTATGTGGCCTCTAAAGGCATCGCCGTGTTACAACAATCGCCTTATTCGCCCGATATGTCAACCTGTGACTGTTTTGTTCTCTAGAACAAAGTCGGTGGTCAAAGGAACCCATTTTCAGTGTATTGAGGGCCTCCAAGCGTCCGTGACAAGGGTAGTCGCGGACATCCCAGTCAAAGCGTTTCACAAATGTTACGAATCATGGAAAACGCGCTGGAATCGTTGTATAGCTGCCCATGGGGACTACTTTTAACACGGAGATGGCAGAGTTGAGAATAAATTTGAAATATACGGTTTTTATGGAATCAGTCTCATTACGTAATTCTCACCCCTCGTAGTCCAGTTTGGGATATCCTTTTTGATATTTTTGATATAAATGGAATAACTGTCACA